TATTTGTATAGTCTACATAAATTCATTTTTTGATTTTTGTTATATATGATGAGATTGAATAAACAACAAGTTTTTCATTATCAATCTTATTTAATCGTTTTCTATCAATAAATTAATATTAAATACATAGAATATTTCTGATAGAAAATACTGATACAAATCTATCTTGCTAGATGCTATGAGACAAACATAGACTGATTAATATCATTTTTTCGATGAATTGTTGACAATGACGCAATTGTACACTCAAAAGTAAAAGTAAACATTATTTATATGTATGTAAGAGAAGTATATTTAATTAGCTTGAGTTGTACGATTGTAATACTAGCTTTGATCTCAAAAAGCTAAGTATAGCTTGACAATGATGTTGAGATCTATAAGAAAAAAAAAGAATTTCGTCCAGAAACATCGATAAGAAAACACTACTATACTAAAGTATCTAAAACTAAAATACTTAGATCTTGTTGTAAAAAAATATTTCGAATTATATGATAAGTCGGATTTATCTCAAAAGATTAGGATAGATTAATATTATTCGATGTTTTGACAACAATTTAATTATTTATTAGAACTAAGCTGCTAGAAAACGACTTGGAATATGTTCTGATAATTTTAATATATTTTAAAATCCAATCATTTGTCAGTGTGTTTCATTACCTTGAGAAAAAATAGAGTTGTCCCTTTACAGTTGTGATTTTATGGGGCTAATTGAGAGTGAACAAAACTTTATATCAAAGTTTCGAACAAAAATTTTAGATATGTGTTAAGAAAATAAAAAAATGTCCAATAGATCACCATGAAAATGCTTCATATTGCAATGAAATCAACATGAAAAATTCGCCACCACTGTCTTTAACTAATAATGGTTCTGAGTCAGAGAAAGAACGAAGTGATCAATAGATAGCATTCATTAGAAACATACTGATACTTGCTAATAGATTAATGTTTTTTGTACAGAAACAATAATTCATTTGTTTTTGTTTAATGTCAATTTCCCGATAATTGTCATTCCAAGTTTCGCACCGCATTGTATAGTCCAGTGAAATTCGAATACCATCTAGTTTTTATTACCAAATTTTCAATCATAAATGGGTCATAAACAATGTTGAGATATAGAAAAAATGTTGATCATGTAGGTATACTGATATATTAATTTATCTTTAACTAAAATTACATCACACATATTTACGATTATTTTTATCCATAGTATATTCATTAGATTGTAATTCTTCTATTTTTTACTTGGTTCTAGACAAAATAAATAATAATAAACAATTTATATAATTCTTATTTAAATTTGTTGAGTTGGCCGTCTTAAAATTTGAGTAAAGCATTATGTTGTAACGAACTCAAAATCATGGAAGAATAATCAGTAAGTGTGTTATATACAATTGTATTTGAATGTCTTAGTGAAACAAGGATCGAATAGAGCTAATCTAGAACCTACTTCGTTTATGCATCATTGGAAATCAAAATAGATCATCAATTAATAGTTTATAAAGATGATGTATGCATAGTGTTTTGATTTCACTCAATCTTATATTTCCATGTACAAATCCTTGTACACCGACATAATCAGGAGGACAGCAACAAAGGTGCAGACATCATGAAAGAAAGAGAAATATGGCACAGTATTCAAAATACTACTGCAATGAATTTCATTTCTTTTTCATTTTTTCGTTTTGTAGTGACACTATAGATAACAACTGATAAAAAAGGAGTCAAGTACAAAAATAAAACAACAAGAATCTCAGTCCAGGAATCATGTATCAAAAATCTATTCGATCAAAAGTTAGCCCTCATTCAAACCTTAAAGACAAAAAAACATCAGTTATACCCTAAGCTGGGTGGGAGTTATTTCCGTATTCGTATCCGAAAATCATGTTTTGAGAAAAACACTGCAGAAATTTTAGAAATGAATTGTTTCATTCAAAATCTAGAAACAACCAAACTAAAATGGTGCAGTGTATAACAAAATTATAATCTCTTTTTTATTTTGTTATGTTCTGTATACTTTTTAAAGCGCATAGCAAATAATTTAAGCTACCACTGTCGGTCATATTTAAGTAAATATAATAATTTATTCAATGCCGAAACACATAAAAGGCAGTTTTTTCTAAAGTGAAAAACTTCGAAGAAAAAAACATGAAGAAGTGTCGAAATTAACTTCGAAAGTCTCTTAAAATTTGACCTTTTTCTGAAAAGCTACATATATTCTGAAAGAGGAAATTTTGCTGCATCTTTCTATGGTAAAAACTCAACTTCGAGTTTTTTCTGAAAAGTTGGATTTTTTGAGGAGGCCCTTAAATAAATTTCGTTTTAAGTCAGTTTTGAATATCTAACAATAGAAACTTCATAAACATCTCTATAACATTAACTATAATTCATATATTTTCTCAAGTATTCAACAAAAATATTAGATATTGAGATGTCTTGACCAAGCTGTTGCCATTAAAAAGTGTTCCAATCATACTTGTCACTATTGTACGTAATTCCTATATTTACTTCATAGTTTTTCGAATACTGAAAAGATTCATATCTTTGATTTCGTTCTTATTAATGTTATATTTCTTATTCTTCTCTCTTGAATCTTTATGCCTTCCAAGATATTGGGGAACTTTATTTTTTGATTAGCTTTATTGTCATACTAATTTTCACTGGCAATCTTTGCTCTATTCAGTTTAACCTTTGCATACAAAAAAATTAACTATCAACATTGTCGCAACAAAAAATAATCATTCGATCATGACCAATAAATAAAAACGAACGAAAAACATTTGTTAATATGCTATGTCAATACAGTACAAGCATTACATTCTTTTCAATAAATAACTTTAACATTCATCATTATATGTTGTTAGGTAGCTGATCAGTATGAATAAATTGTTTTGTAATGTCAGTTGATAGTTCATGACCATTTAAATCACAAATATCTAATTAAGAAATAAAATTACAAAAGTAAATGAAGAAAAGGGTTTAGGCTTTTCATACATTATACTAGAACAAATGAATCAGGACTATGTTCAATTCAATATGAAATCGTTATTATGTCGTTTTAATTTATTTTATAATGATAATCTTGTCATAAAGTGGTGTCATCTCCAACAGACTAGTTGTATTCATTTCCACTTCATTCATGTAATTCTTTTTATCTGGTGTTGTTTTCATCTCGACCAATAATTTTTTTTCTTGTTGTATCGATATATATGCATTGTTCGATTTGGAGAATATGATAAAATTAATTGATACTATCTTTTGTTGAAGTATGAAATTAGATTGTAAAATTAAAATTCAAGATCGACAAAGAACAAATGGATCATCAACATTAAAAGCTGCTAAAGGTGTTATTGGTCTTGCAAAATCAAATAATGATGAATGGGTTCTTATTGTTCGACTTTTCAAAGATACGAATGCTACACAATATAAGGTACTTAGTTTTTCAACAGAATTGTTCACATAGAAAAAGAAAAGCAACCAAATATACAGATGATATCAGAATTAAGCACAAGAATGAAAACTAAAGTAAACACCTAAGATGATCAACAACTAAAACGCGTTAATTGAGAAATGATTCTTTTTTTTATCTTGTCTGGATTCAATCATGCTAAGTAATAAGTTATGACTATATTGCTGATTATCTATAAATATATTTTGTCCATTTTAGTAAGTTATTGTTTGTACTTTCGAGTCGATTGTTATTACTTAACATGAGTTGTTAATTAATGTTTATTATTTCTGATTTCCATTTATATTACCGGAATAGGACAGAACTCCAGTTGTCTTTTTCGACTAGTTCATAGAATCCATTGAAAATACTCGTACTCAAAAGCGGAGGTTTTTTGTTAATGTTAAGATCTTTTTTTGTCATTCAACTATCAATATAAGATCGGCTTGTTAAAAAGCAAAGGTATACCGATTGTAGTAAGCAAGTCGAACTATATGTCAACCAAGTTGATGAGTCTCTAATAGAAATATAATTTACCGGTACTGTAATAACGTTTGTCGTAGTTATTTTATTTTCTTAAGTGTTATATCACTTCACAAGAAATACTTGAATAATAATATTCTTGCATATGAAATATGATAGAATTTTCGTACAAAATACTATTTAGTTATTATTAAAAACCAAAGAAAGTTAATTTAAAATATTGTTGGATATAACTGACTTCTTTGAATAATTTTCATCCTTTTGTTTTTAGCTTCGTGACAATGTTCAAGCTCTTCTTCACAAGTGTATTAATAATGGTATGGCTACAATTCAAATCAAAGTACCACCTCATGATATACAATTATCTGAAGTAAAATTAATGATTGTTAAATTTATTTTGTTCCTAAATATTTCTTCATATGATTTTCTAGGCTAATGTTGAATCACTAAAAACTTTACTTCCAAGTATTCGTCTAGCATCAACCGGTAATAATCTTCCATCGTCA